AAAAATGTTCCAAATGTAAATCGATTATTCGATGTGGAACATAAAATGATAATTTAATTATCTTATTTGTAAATTTTAAATTTTAAATATAATTGTGATTAGACGGACAAAACCGAATAATTAATTTAATATTTGATTCACAATATGACGCAATTATACTATTTTATGGGTTAAGTTTATTAAAGTTTCTCTTCTATTTGTTAGGTCAACAAGAACGGAACGCTATATTCTATCCGCTGTACGCATATTTTCCAAATATTTTTTTTAAATCTTTACTTTAACTTATAAACAAATACGACTATTTATTGTGCTGAAAAATAAAGTGATTTTTTTATGTATATCATTAAATATGAAGTAAGTGAGAAAATGGTTTCAAGAGCGTTATGAATTGAGATTATATTGTACGAATTGTATGTCACATAACATTTTATTGTATATTAAAGTCTAATTAGCAGAACAGATTAAGTTCGAATTGTGATTCATGTAAAGACGGCCTCTTTCCTTGAAACTCGACTAATGCAGAAAAAAATTTAAATTCAGGCTAAAACTTAACGTCTAATCAAGATCAAATTCGTTAGTTTCGGACAGACGGATAGACAAGTCTTCCCGTTTTCGTTTTTTGAGAAAATAACTTCAACATATGTGTAACTAGTTTTAAAGATAGATTTTTACAAAATGTTTAAGATTTTCTCTACTTGGTTCGTGGATTACTTAACATACTATACCACATTTTTTGACTTTGTAAAAAACAGAATAATATTTATAACTGTCATAATGATCAGCATATTGGCAGGGACGAAATGGGGTGTGTATGTAATCTTCTTGGAGGTAATGCTGTAACATCCACTGGAATTTCCGAGGAAAACCATGCAATTATTTATACTTTACATTTTGTAAAACATTTTTACAGAGTGTAATTGTACAAGTATAGATGAAAAATTACGATGAGGGAACTGAAAAAGAAACGAGCCTTACCTTCGTACCAAGCTTTATGAAGATCGTTCTATTTATTCAGAAGTTTACTGGAGGCAAAGGGTATCTCACAGGCGAGCCCTTCTGTCAGGGAAACAGTGCTTACACACGGAGGGAGACTTGCAACTATTAGTCCGAACCGCAATGTTGACCGAGATTATAACAGTGTCCCTACAACCCATTCCGAAGTCGATCATGTATGCAGTCTGGGACCTCTGTTGACCATAGCTCTACCACACGTATTGAGATGGGATTAATCGAAGCGCACTAATGCTTGTCCCCGAGAATGTGCACGGACCTGAATAGAAGTACAAAGTGCGTGACTTTCCCGATACTCTGTAATACGAATATTGTACCGTGCTGAGTAAACACAATGATACTGTAAAAGAGGCTACATGTTTAGTAGGATAGATTGTTTCATTACTATGTCAATAGATCAAATCTACAAACCTGTTCCGAACTTTGAATCCAACGTAAACAGGTCAGTTAATATATTTCTCTCTTATACATAATTTTATTTCAGTTACATATACGGCCCCATTATTCCTAAATATTTATATATTAATAGATTATTTAAAGATAATGTTTATAGCTCAAACTGTATGAAATCTAATAACTGGATCTTTAATGAGTAATGAATTCGAAATGATATGAACGGAAGCTGTCATAACCAAATTTAAGGCAAAATCCAGGAATTTTTGAAGAACTAAAAAAAAACATGTTTATATTACCCGACAGTTAATTCACAAAACGAATTATTTTTGGTCAAATGTTGACTGAAATATGTCATACTTACCGGTAACGACCTGGTTCATCATCATCGCTGACGGATACTTTGGCGTCAGTACGGTAGAAGCGATCCGCGATGGCCTTCAGGCTGCCTAACAAAAGAAGTGCGACTGCAGGCCGCTCTGTGGCGAACAGGAGGTCTAGGTGACCTGCCGGGTCGGCAGTACACACGAAACTAGCACGCTCCGGCTGCCCCTCCCCCTGCAATACGTCGTGAACTCCATCCAGAGTGGTCAGAAACTCCTGTAGATTGCCTCCCAGGCAACGGAACGCACGTTCCATCAATCGCTTCTTGCATGTCGTTGCAATCAACTCCTGGCCCAGCTGATCCAAAAACTCTTCCACAGACACACCTGGAAGAATAAAGAACGTTTCTAGCTAAAACGCAAACACAATGGCAGTCAAGAGTTACGACGGCGATGTATTTAGATACACAAACATGAAGATGGAGGTGACATGTTTCTCCGAATCGTTGGTAACCACGTGCAAGACCACACGATGGTCATAACTCAGACGTCCCCGACGGAGAGAGTATAAAGAGGACAGGCAGCAGTCTAACACAAATATTCGGAAAAGGGATTTACGAGAAATATCTTACACCAAGCTTTACATAAATAATTAATCAACTATCTAATCAGATAGCTGTCTTACTAACTAAATAAAATATTTAAATCATGGTTTAGCGTCACCTTATTCCCTGCGAAATTTTCAGGTATTTAGCTGTTACTTTTGCGTTGTTTAGTGAACCACATTTATTTATTTTCGGTTTATTTTACGTTGCTCTCAATAAGGAAGATTATATTACGTCGAATAATAAAGACGTTTAGCGATGTCTAAATCGGAAATGATAGGATAAAAAGGTTCTGGACTCATTTAAGGCTCTGTACCGGCATTTGTTGGTAGGAATTGAGGAATGCCACAAGACGTTTCCGTCACATCCAGTCTCCGGGTCGAGATTTGAAACCTGAACCTCTCGGAAAAAGAAGTAGGATAATTATTAACTCGGCCACGATGTTCATAGACTATATTAAATATTATGTATTTAATACAGTAACTTCCTTTGTTTACATATTTCAAATTTATGACAATCATATTTTTTCTTAGCATACCGTAACGTAAAAATATACCGGTATTATGTCAAGGCAAATAAAGATAGTTAAGGTTATTTAAGTACAAAGTTCTTTCGAGATACTCGTCGGCTAAAGTTCACGTCCACTTTGAGAGAGTCCGTTCCAGTTTTTGAGTGAAAACAATTTTTTGTTTCTTTCAGATGTCCTTTACGCGATTTGTACTTTTAGTTATGAACATGCTAGATTGAAAATTACAGAAACAACGGATCTGATTCCTGGCACTTCGGCAACTAATTGCCAAGCCATAAAGCCACTGAATAAAACCTTGCTATGTGCTATTGCGACTTCCACTTAAACATTTACAGCACCTAAATGATAATAAGAAATTCAGTTCTTATCTCGAATAAAATACAGTGCGTTTCCATTACAAGAACTAACAATGAATGTTATTTGGGAAAATTAATACTGTTTATTCTGAAAATAATACGAACCCATATATATGATTATGTTAGCAAAGTGCAGAGTTATTGAATATATAGTAACCACTAGGCTTTAAAAAGTTAATAGCCCTATATGATCCTAATTCAAATGGAACTGTTATATACGCATGGATGCATAGTCTAAATGTAATGTACTATAAAATTGCATTATGGGCTGTTTTAAACGGATTTGGTACCACGGAATCAGGAATTGAGTGCGAGGTTAATTAAAACATGGTGTAGTGAATCACCGATAATAAGAGTATAAAATGGATTTAGTTATCACTTTCCATGTTATGATGTTATAGTTATAATTCCCATTAGAATCTTAGATTTTTTTTTAGTTAATACGTGAAACGAATTTTTAGCTAATATTGAAAATGTTACTCATGGCCTTGATAAAACTACTTTTAATAGTACTATGAATATTTAATTTGAAAATCTAAATAAAATAATGGAATTCGTTTCATATAACACTACACAACTTATTGATATTACATTAAAATTAAATATTGTTTTCATTCACAGTTTCCGGTATCTCTTAGAAACGCGTGTATGTTTCACCAATGTATCTAATAAAAATACTTTTTATCTTCCCTGCCAGATCACCATGTCACGACGGAATTAGGAGACGGATTTAAAGCTCCACGCTTGCTACATCTCGGCAACACATGTGACTAATCGTTTTACTCCCAGGGAAGGAAACCCCGTCACCCGTTGAAACGAGTTTGGTGGCATCTTGTGTGGTGGCCAAGAGGAAATTCTTTCCTCCGACCGTGATCGAACTGTACCGTCTCATGCAATCTGTCTAACGCAGAATAACAGTTTTAACTTTAATTATACTGTAGGTATAGTCTTATCTGACTCTGTGTCAAAACAAATGTTTTGAGAAAAATTGCCAAAAATAATACTTGAGAGCAAAGCATCGAGGAAATGGAGAAACTTGCATAATGAGAAATTCACATTTCGTACAATTTATTTGATGTTATTAGTGTGATTAAATCAAAACCTCGGACAGACGGTCCTAACAGAAGACGAATGGGGGATAAGACCGAATTGAAGAGGAGAATTGAGGAGGCCATGGACCGAATACGGACCGGAGAGCCATAGAAGAAGAAGAATTTACTGAAATTTAAGATGGATGTAACATGTACAACGCGTGATAACCGGTGACATACATTCAAATTATTGACTGAGAATCTCGTGTTATTTTTTTTTATTTATTAGTCCACACCAACATAAAATATGAACAGAGCCTTGAGTTGAATTCTGGGAATCGTACGATGTGTGACAAATAATATAACTTTGTGCAGCAAATCATAACAATGTTGTATTGATAAAAAGTGTTAAAATAAAAACTGATCTCTTCATCATATCCACGGGTGGCCCAGGATTATTTTTCCTAAGCTTTAATCTTTATAAAATATTCTATGGGAAACGGGAATTTTCAATTGTCTGTAAGGTTATATGTACTACGATTATGTATGTAAAATTCTACTATGCAAACACACCGAGTTCAAAGTGGGGAATTGTAAACATAAGTTTAATACATTCAGCAAGGTGTTCGTGAAATGGATTTTTGGAGGAAAGTTTAGAGCCTGGGGAAGGTTTGAAGTTATAATAAAGTAATTTTAGATAGGAAATTGAAATTCTATGTATAACTTGAGATACAACAGAATTCAGAGGAGCAGTTTGTTGATATAATTTTCAGATTTAAGATAAAAGATGACATGACGATGAATAGATTCCAGTGGACCTGTTAACAGTGAGGAAACCAACATACAAATATCAAAGATGTTAATAATGATCATGGCGACGTATTAGACATCAGCTGCTGCTAATCCGCCTGATGATTTAAAACTTAAGTTAACCTAACCTAACCTAACCTAACCTAACCTAACCTAAACAATAAGCGAACACGGGAAAATCTTACACCGCTTTGCGGTGAGCCATGCATTAGTACCCTCTAAAGAACAACTATTGTATTTACAACACTAGACACTATCCTTAGGCATGAATCTAGTGCACTCAGGTCTCGTGACAAAGACGTTGTATGTATTTAGTATTTACATCCATGCATGCTACATTATCCGCTTACCTCACACGTCTAAATTTAATTCATTAACAACAGGAGGATATCAGCAAAAATACTGTAGCTTTCACTACTTTCTTTTGGTGTCTTCTTCCGCAGGTACATTCTACTAAACACGCTGTTCTCATCCTCCGTCTACATTTTACTTTCAAAGATAGGCCAAATTTCATATTCATATCAACTATGTATTTAATGAAACGTAGTGATACAATCATTTAAACAAAAAAGAACATTTTTATGGTGTCCTTTTACGTGTGGTAATTTAGTGTTTATGCTATTTAATAATGAATTTCGTTTTCCTCATTAAATACTGAACTATTTTATTACATAATTTAAACCAGATATACATGAAAATTATGCTTAAAACACAATACGAATACATTCAAAACTCTGATGAGTTTCACCACCTAATAAACAACTTTACAGACCAAAACAAGCGAAAATCAATTTGCATTTTCAATGTACTGCACATTTCTCTCTTCAGCCACACAGGCATATGTGCAATCGACATTCCAGGTAGAATCCCGTAACAAAGCACACTTTTGTCTGTTCATGGAGTTAGCATGAAGTTAGCTTCCCCACAGATCCAGTGACCAGTCCATATAATGCTCGGTTAAGGGTCAGTTTGTAATCATAACCATGTGAAAACTACGCAAAAGTTCCTGTGAACATACATGCAAAGTTCTATTACCATATTGGAAATGTAATTACGTCGAGAAATTAAATGTCGACATATAATCTAACTAGGAAATATGACCATTTCACAGATGAGCAGTTATTAGTCTATTAATCTGTGATGATGACGATGTGCTAAACTGCACACATTGCGTGGTTTGCAATAATACGGCACATGTTAATATAAACTACACAACGTTTAGGGACACATTAACCATCTCGTTGAGAGAATCTTGCTAGAGAACTAAACGGCCAAAGTTCGAAGCTTTCTGACGATGGAGCGTTACATTGTGTTACATTGCTATTGACAGCAGGGTCTTCTAAAAATGTTCCACGTTTTATGGAATCTGGAGGTTCATTGACACGCCCACCAGAGCTCGCCAATGGTCCCTGTTCTGATCCAGATGACTCCAAGCAAAGCCCTCCTATCCTCGTTCATTTGCCATTTATTATTATTATTATTATTGTTATTGAAATATAAATTCTCATAGGCCTGTTCGCTTCCGTATTAACAAAGTCAGTCACACTTTTGGGTCCGACGCGTCTCGACGACGCACTGCGTTTCTCCCCTGGTCTCCAGAATGTGTGTAGGCGTGACGTAAGGAGCAACAACTAATCAATCCGCCCGGTTACTGTATCACAAGGATGCGTGGCAGGTGGTGGCCGAATTGGCTGAACTGCACGGGTACATGTGTCAGGGCCACTCATTTCGACAGAAGCTGGTCGGAAGACCACACAATTGGTACGAAAACCTCCAACTGCGCTGAATTCTGGGCCCTGCGATCTGTCATTGACAAAGACAGACTACATCGGGATTTCTGTATGGCAGTCCTGTTCTCTCTTCCACCCAGTCCCTTATTCGTCGTTCCTTACTTTATTTAACGACGACTTCTCAACTGCAGAAAACGTATAGCATCGAATAGGAAACTGACTGTAAACCAATGTGGAGGTAAGAGGTCGTGGCTTGTTTTAACGTGATATCGAGCGTCTGCCTGCAAGGGCTGATAAATGGAAAATCCTCTCAGGGTATTTATTCTTTGGCTTAAAAACTGAGACAGTCACTTTTCAGATATAAAGCACAAGTGGAATTTTAATTTCGGACAGACAACCTCAGGAAATATCCAAGGCGCCATCTGTCACAAAATACGTAATAGTAATGTTAACTATGTCAACAAGCTAAGAAACTGGCAGATTAACAACAGTTTTCCAGCGAATATACAAAGAAATAAATCTAATCCTGACAACTGAGAAGTGCAAGTGTACTCTCTTCTATCACTCATTCCCAGCTTTCCAACTGCAAACGCTTTCCACGAAAATAGAACTGTATAAAAAGTAAAGATTTTTATGACTTTTTTCAGACGCTAAGTCAGAGGCCTGATATTTAGACACAGAAGAGTTTTCGGTTAGCTTACAGCAATGGCATAGAGGATAGAGCTTATAAAATCTCTGATGCATAGATAAAAACACATTCAGATATTATGTTAAGTCTGGTATCAAAAATCATGAACGTCTGTGCATTAACTCCGAGCCAAGTGTGGGCATTTTGCTTTGGTTAGGATTCCAAATTTACACAAAGTACCGTGATCAGCCGAAAATATATGTGTTAAAGAGAACTCTATACCATGACGCCCACAAGTCACCAACTAGCTAGTAATGCAGTCAATCGGTCAATTTAGTCAAGCGAGAAGTGGATCTTATTTGCACACAACTTACAACTTCATTAAAGCAAGATATGGTTGTATACAAAACACTTAAAAGAACCTCCCAATGCGAAGCAGGAGTGATAAGCAGCTCTGTCGTAAAGTACAGTCAATATGAAAACTCATGTTTGCAGTGACTAACGCACAGTACCGCTTCAAACGTTTACAAGCTCTATTAACGACACACAGGCCAACATAAGCAAACATGTTATTCTACTAAACATAAAGTTACATGGTAAAATTAACGACCATGCCACCTACCTTCGGCTTCTGAAACCAAATCGTAAATATCCTCTAAGTAAGAGTAATGATTGTAACTGCTGACGTCATGTGGCAGCTTCTCTTTTCTGAAAACAAAAGAAGAGATATTTTCTCGTAAATAGGTAAGGCATTAGTAACATGTAATTAATTCCAGGATAATTTCATCATATATCCTACACACACGTTGCAAGAGTACTTTATTTATATAATTAGCCTGAACATCTCCAATTCTGTACATTCTTATTGTCTCTGTAGGAACTTCGTAATCCAGGCAAAAATCCGACCTCCCAGCGGCCAACTCAGAAGAAAATCTCTGGTAGCTATTAAGTTGGGCTACAGAACAGGGCTTAATATAACATTTTGCAGATCATTTCAAGAACATTAATTCATCTTGTGTTGATTTAATTACATATACTGCAGATTAAAGTAAATTAAAATCACACCCTATTCAAGACAACACACAGAAACTGACGGTCTTATGGGATATTGTGCTGTGCAGGATCATAGAAGTTGACAGACGTTTCAGAGGTTATCTGACATTACGTTTCTCCTCTCATCCTAACTATATTTTGCTATGCCAATCACTTACACCACTATTGGGCTGGTCCTGTGTAAAACTAGCTCTGCAAACACTGTATGATTTAAATACATCTCAAGACGGAGAACACTTTCCAACATTATTATACAATAATAAGCAAGCGTGTTTGAAAGAGGAGATAGGATTTCCCCAATGCTTACGAACCCACGCCGACATCTCAATATTGTTACTGATGATTTACATTCGCCATCAATCAAGGAGGAAGACGCTTTGTTCCCTTCTGCAGACAGCCGTGAAGACAGTGCAGGAGAAGGATGTGGCAGACACCCCGTGCGCCGTTGTGCCGGTGACGGGGGGGTGAGTGGGGTAAGAGAGCGTCGATAAAGCTGCTGGAAGAGGGAAGCTGATATATCTAAAATGTGTGTAATTGAATAGCGAAACAACATATTTTGGAAAATAATGAATGAAACAATTATGTATCTTCGTCTTGAAAAACCAATTACAAACGTTGATATATGCTTATATGTATAACTGTACATATAATCTTTCCAAATACGTAAAAATAACAACAATTATTCTTTCTGTTAAGATTTGGATCAACTAGGTTCATTATTTGGCCCTTTCATCTCCTCTGTAGACAGGCAAGGCATTTTTTTCTGTCAAAATAATGCTTCACGCTGATATCGAAGAGCTGGGGTTCCTTATTACATGTTCATTATATCTTTTTCGGTTATATTCAATTTATTCTACAATATTATATACCACAAACTCTCAATGTCTTCAAACCTCATTGTATACCTAATCGACGAATGTTCGGAAGGAATGAGTGGAAGGAATGAGCAAAACCAAGAAAATTTTCATTCAAAATATTCGATGATCTGAGCCGGTACTTGAGCTTGGAACGTCCCGGATACGAAGGAAAAGGATTATGCAATTTAATATTCCAATACAATTTCCCTTAAGCACCCAGGTAAACCGGCGCTCAGCTGATGAAGTCTTAAGCCTAAATGATGAATATTTAGGTTTCATAAAAGCAGGACTTTAATGAGTGCTTGAATGGAAAGTCATTAGAATTTTAGCACGTTTGCTATATTTTGTCCCACATCTTGAGCTAAGCGACGACCTAGTTGGAAATAATAACCATTATATGGTCTCCTGCTTGAAATCATACCGCATTGCTTCTAGCGATGTTTTTGAAATAATTACACCGCTACTTAACTAATCGCTTTGAAGTGAATCGGCCATTCATCTCGATAAATGAGTTGAGATCCTGGTCACTTCAATTCACTCCAAGTAGGTTATCAGCTGCGTAACACTAGTAGCACTGCATTAGTGCACACTACGACAAAAGACGTGTCTAATTCTTCCTCACGAAACTTTATTCATTCTCCTCTCAGTTTACCGCCAATTTCTCACTTTCTTTTTTGTCTTGAGTTTTTGCTCTCTTTCACGCTTTCTTTCTTTTTCATTCACTGTTCCCTTACCCTTACTACTTTATTCTTTCTCAATTCCATTTTTACTGTTTTGGAGGAGGTAGAAAGACCATCATTAAAGATGAACAGGTCAGAAGTGAATCCCGGTATTTTATAGGGGAGAGTCAGAACCATGTGGAAAGCACGTCAAAATATTCTGTAGATCGACCAAGATTCGAACCGGGTAAATCCCGAAGCGTCGCCTCGACACCAGACTCCTCGATGCTGACACCGTCTTTGACGTACAACTATATACTTCACGCCCCACTCAACATTCGTAGCATATGATTCTGTAGAAAGAGGTGCCGTTATATCGGGGTGGGGGTGGGGGGCAGTTTTAGCACCAACCATTTAGTCTACGAGTGACGCAGGTAGCAGACCATCGAGGAGTCCAAGTTAACTAAAATCCCAAGCGACTAAACGTGCAGAAAGCTTTCGCAGAATTTGGATCACGACAACTGTCACCGCGATGCAATGTACCGAAAATAAAGCCGGTTAAGGTGGTTACACTCCGCGAGTATTTGGTTGCTGCTGCCTGTTACAGTTACCGCATCACTGCACCACACTTCCTTTCCATCTCAATAATTTCAATTTTTTAGTCCAAGCTTATTACAGCTCGGATCTAAATCCCCAAGGACCGGTTTAGTACGTCCTTCGAGTTCTATCTCACTGATCCACGAGACACCACGAATACCACAGAAGCTTTCATATTATTCCTTATTTCCCTTTAACCACTAAATTACACTTGGCTTCCATTTTCACATTATGTTATCCTCAGCGGGATCCTTTATACTCCACCATTTCACAGCTCTATGCAACGCTCCTTCATATTCCAAATACACCTCTTATTCTATCACACTATTCTTCAAATCTTCCTTCCTCAACCATAAATTTTCCTTAATGTCAATCCATATGTCTCCCAATTCTTACTGTAATTGGCTCACACCATCTTTCTAAGATCGGCTGCTTTATCGTATTCAATCAGGGTCTTTGTATTCCAAAAATATCTCACTTCTATTTTACACCCTAATGCCACACAATTTTCTTTAGAAAATTCTCATTCTCTGCTCTCAGAAATGTTATAAAACAAGGTCTAGCCATACATTCACAACCAGCATCTTGAGATTACAGAAGGGATGTACAACTTTCATTAAAATCTGTACATATGAGAACATACTTAGCTCGATGCGTTGCGATTTTAAGGATTTATACTGAATGTCGTAAATTACAGATTTGTAGCTAATCTTATTACAACAAAATTAGTTACAACCAACAGAACATAATTTTTATGTAATATTAAACTACCCACCATTAATGCGATAGCGGACACTCCATGAATTTCACGTCACAAACGTCCACTATTACACAAATAAACAAAACCCCCCTTTAATACGTCTTTCCAACGCAATTCTCTTTGCTAAGAAAATACAAATTTACACAGCACTCCTGTTACACGAGGTGCATGAAAAATAGTCCATTTCCAGTGAACTCATCAATGAAATAATCAGACCCTATTACAACCGACATTAATTCATTGCATATATTCAAAACAAAATTTCTTTAACATTTATTTAAAATTTGTTTTGTTACAATCTTTCTATCTTTTCCTAGGTCTCTTCCAAGTAGTCTGACCTTCACGTCTATCAATTAAAAATTCGCATATGTTTCTCACCTCACCCTCCCCTCATCTCATCCTCCTTGATTTTATACCAATAAAATCTGCGAAAAGTGCAATGTATAAAGCTCCGCTACATGCAGTTTTATTCAACTATCTTTTACTTCTCTGTTTTAGGTCCAAACTGGTTATTCTCACACATACTGATTCTCCAACATCCTCGATCATTTTCACCCTTAGGACGACAGACTCACACATTCCTACAAAATGAAATGAGGGCCACATTATTAAACTAAGATACACAAAACTGCGTATGTAGTATTTGTAAAATAAATTGTCGTTACTCTCTAAAATTATAATTGCTAGAAAGTATACAATATTTAAACAAGTATTTGCTAAACCAAGGAAATTTAGAATAATTTAGCATGTATATGATAAACCAAGTTCTTCAGACACCACAATCTTATAACATACGTGATATTTCATCTTTTAAGATGAAGACAGTATGTACCGCCAAAACGCTGGTATCTGCCAACAAGACCCCACAGTGTTACATACCAGGATACAAACATAAGACACTTTTTCCATATAAAGTCCACTTTTCTTTCAATTTCATAAGTCCTAAGCAAACGAGTGATTTGTTTTGATACGAATCAATAGCGAATTTTTCAATTAATTCAGAAGAATGTCTTTATGAATACAGAGGAAACAAAGACGAATGTCCAACCCATCACATCATCAGAGAAGAACATTTTGAGAAGAAAGGAAGCTGCAAGAAAGAGACAGAGATCTATATGAATCCTGTCTTTAACAGATGCTCACTTCAGCATTTCAAAAATTCGATGATAACGCCTTACAACGTAAAAGGCAGAACTGACGAGGAAAAGATTTAGAGTGCAGGAAATTTCTGTACACATTTTACCGGAGAGGAGAAAAGAAAGTGCTTGGTGTTATTTCAAAACTTCGGGGATTTTTAACAATGACAGCTTGAGATATTTCCATGCACACTACGTACCAACTCAACCACCTAAGTCAATACACTTAATAATTTATGTTACCAGAAAAACAGACCCCGCCAAAGTGGGACAAATGTTAAAAAAAAAAGAGAAGATGTTACCAGATATTTTTAAGAAATTATCAAAACCATTCCATTTAGTTCAGTCAGTTTTAGTGTTAGGATGGATTACACATTGTAGGCCGATGTTTCAATAATTGTTATAATTTAAAATTGCGTTTGTAACGTGCTATCATAAAAATGACAGAGAAGTTGCAATGAATAGTCAGTTATCAGTTTCAGGTCAAAACGATCGCACAACCGCCATGTTCTAATTCTCATGTTTTCGTAAAAAATATCTTACATTTAATTTTACAATTCTGATACATTTATCATCATACAAAATTATGAGCGCTAAAGTAAATAGCGCTTTATGTATTGTTTCTTATGCAGAGGTATTCAAAACG